TGTTTAAAAAATCACCAGGTTGGGGTTAGATTGCTACAGTAAGTTCTCAAAATATTATAATACCACAATGCTGGGTATGTGACTTGTCACTGTATCTCCAAGTTGTATTTATTATCACTTGGTCATGTCTGAAGGGTCCTAGCACAGAGCTGTAACCTAAGACATTACATGTGTTGATATTCAGTCTAAACTTTTTAATGCAGTTTAATTGCTTGGTAAGAAAAAAGACATGTTCTGGTAATATTTCTAGTACAATTTAATGTCAAAATCTGTTTTCTATTGATTCTTTATCTCATCATGAAATGTGGAGTCAATTGGAGGGAAATACCAGTGGAGAAAGACTGACTTGGGTGGTGGCGTATTTATGCCTTGTGTATTCAGAGAAGAGGGAGAGAAGGAAACAAAAAAGGAGGGAAGAATGGGAGCATAGATTCAAAACTAAGCTCTTGGGTAAATTATTCACATATCTCTGAAGGTTAATCTCTACTTTTATAAAATGGGTACGATAATTGGCCACTAATACACAACTATTTTTGGATTATAAAAGAATTCCAGAATGTGAAAGTGTTCTGTAAATTAGCAAATCTTATCTCTAAGACATCCACTACCTGAATGCAGGTACCATTTAAAATGTCTATCCTTTTACCTCTTGATGTTTTCACTTCCTAGATACTGTACATTTATTTGTAGAAACACTCTGTTTCAGGAATAATAATGCGTTCCTTGTGGGATCATGTTTCATCACACAGCTTCTCATTACTTGGGTCAAGTGCCAAGAACCTTGAGAGGGTAAAAAAAAATCATTTTTTTCTAGTTTCTCTGCAGCTCTCCTTTTGACAGAGCTCAAGTACAGGCTGTTTGGCTGCAGAGCCACAGGGATTTGATGAAACAAAGCATTCCACAGCAATACAGACTCTGCCTCTTCTATCTCAAGGGAAGTACGGTACAAGATATGACCTTGGCTGATCACTGGTAAGTATGCTAGTTGCCTAGCAAAATTCAAAAGTCCGAAGAAAGAGCCATAATGCCCTTATCGATTTATATTCTGAAGCTTTTGTTATCATAATGTGGTATGCTGCAAATTGAGTATTTCAACAGAAAGCTTAGAATAGCATGACATTTTTTTTCACTATCACAGCTGCTGACACATACCAACAATCTTATCAATTTCTATATTTATAATGACAACAAAATGTTATATTACACAATATGTTAGTGCTTTTAAAACACTGGGTATGTGGGAACATGGGATTTTAAACTATAAAAGACGAGCTCATGAAGGTGAGATGTAAATAAGGGCAACCGTATTTTAAAGAATCTCAATGTGAAACTAAATCATTTTTTAATGATATGCAGATCTGATAGCCTTCAAAAATCCTCTAAAATGGGTAATTATTTTTGGTTTTGAGAGTAGAAAGATACATTAAAGACCCAGAATTTATTGATAATAGCATTTCTAAAAGTTCAATAACCATAGATTCATATCTGAGAAGACCACAGCAGATGAGTCTCACTCTAGATGAAATACTATTTCAATCATCTGGATGAAATAATAAATCAAATATTTTCTAAAAATTTGCATATCAAGTTTTAAATGAGCAAATAATCTGAAATACATTTCTAGAACTAAGAAACCCTTTTAACGACTCCTCTCACACTGGTTAAAATGTGGTCTTTTATACAGCAAATATTCTATGTAGAAATTTTGTCTTGATTCTTTGTTATTCCTCTCACTTTATCTCTCACTTCAGGATGTGAATATAGTGAACAAAGAAGACTATTACATGAAAAGGGAAATTTTTATTACATCATTTGCTTGTCTTTAAAAATCATGAAAAATCTCTGCCAGATCCCATTTAATAGCCTTTCAGTAAGCTAACCAAGGCCACTGCCACTGATATTGGGACACTTTTGTAACTTCCAGGACTTCCTGAAGTCAATCTATTTTCTTCAAGGAGAAAAATAACCTCTACTGGAAATAACTCATTAAAAAGTCTGTACTAGTTGGCTGAAGTACAACTTAGCTCGTCCTGCCATTTCAATCTCCTGCTTTGCACATGTCAACACAATAGAAACTGCAGTTATCATTTTTAGATGTTTAAATTTGACATGTTTGTTGTAAGGACGCATGTAAATTAACAGAAATAAAAATTCATCTATCATTTTAATTCTGCAACAGATCAAATCGTCTCCAAGTTTTAGGACATCCTACTGTTCTTTGACTTTTACATGCATAGACTTTGCATGACAGTACAGATAAAATTTTGTGTTCTGATTTCTTTAAACATTATTTGTAAGTAGTGTACATACAACCATACAGCCTTTATAACTATCATGAAAATAAAGTAGGTGAATGAGTTACCACAACTTAATGGATCCTTTCTCCATTCTTACATGTTACCTCCTCTCCCATCTCCTTCCACCCTTGGTGTTTTTGAACTACCATTAACCGCCAACATTTTTGTTTATATAGCTTTTCCCCTTGATTTTGATGTTTCTCCATTCTGCTGAATTCTGTGAAATATGGACTTATGAATGTCTTTATGACTCTTAAATTGCCAAAGTGATTCTAAATTTCATGGCCAGTAACAGCAACACGCATACCTATAATTCGTACTGTAACCCTCACCAGCACTTAGGTATTAGTATTTTTATTGGAGAAAGGAGCACTAATTTTACAGGGATAGAAAATCTGTGACTTCATACTAATAAAATCTCATTAGTATTATTCTGATGTGCATTTTATTGCTATTATTAAATGCTTTAAAATATTTCCTAGTAACATTTCCTAGTATGTGGATTATCTTTGGGCATGTGTCTTAGTGTGTATGTCAAAAATTTACATGTTTTTTTTTAATACCATATCTAAAAAAATAACCTCAGCTATACCGCATTAGCTGCAAATGTTTTTTTCTGATAAATTATTTTTACTTTGTGTTTTTTTAGAAGATAAGTTTAATATTTTTACATCGTTAAGTACTATTAAGTAGTTTCTAATGTAATTTTTTCCCTATTACATCAAAACTGATGTAATAATTCTCCTAAAATTCTGGAAAATAAACAAAACTATCCCCATGATTTATTTTTTTTAATATTTTATCTGTTTAATCCATCTGGTATTTTTGGCATATGTTCTGAATGTAAATTACTTCTTTCTCAAATTTGTTAATGCCACAATCATTTATTGAATAATCTTTCTCCCCTTTCCCATTGTTCTGTAATGCTCATTTCTTTTAGATATAAAATTTAGACACAACATGCTGGTATTTTCCATGTTTTCCCAGATACAGCACATTATAAAAAAAAACTTCAATTACGTTGTTTTCAAACATAATTTGATATCTGAGATGGTTTTTCAACATTTATGGTTTCTTCTTGAAGATATTCCTTCATTCTTATTGGCTCATTTCTCCAAATAGATTATCATTCTATCAATGTGTACGAAATTCCAGTTAATAATTTTATTGAGATTATGCCCTTATAAATTAATGTGGAAAGCATTAATAACTTTATGTTTACATCCAGAAATACAATCTGTCTATTCACTAAAGCCTTCTTTTACAACCCATAAGAAATAACATTCTAAAAATATGCCCAATATTCTATAATTTAGGGGCAGATTAAGATAATGGAAAAGGTAAAGACCAGAAAATGGGACATGTGTATATATGTCGTAAGGCTCAAATCCTGTGCAATCTTGGGCAGGATTTTTATCCTATCTGAGCCTCAGTTGTTTCCTCTGTAAACTGGAGTTAGTACGATTTACTTTCAGAACTGCCATAAGGAGTAAGGATGATGTACATAAAGCTATTGGGACATAGCCTGTATCCAACAAATGTTAGTTATGATCATAGTTTTTAATATAGCATAAGCCTAGTACTTAAATTTTTTTGTTGTTCTTACTTAGTCCGTTTGATTTTTGCAAAACTATATGAGATAATGATGTTGTTAGCATGACTAGTATCAAGACCCCAAAAGTAAATACATATCTTCTTTTGAATCAAAAGCACAAGTTCATTTTATAGTATGATATGTGTAAATATATTTCCAGATCACCTACGTCACATAATGACTTTGCTCCTAAATATTTTATAAATTTTTCTACTATAATAATTACATTTCTCTTTCACCATATTGTCTAATTAATTGTTTGATTAAAGGAATGCTATTAATTTTAGCATATTTCTCTCACATTCAAAAGTGATTGAATTCCTTTTTACCTCCTAAAAATATGCTTGGTTTTTGGGGTTGCCACATTTACAAAATAAATTCTACACTACAAAAACATATTTTAATACATTAGCTAATTAAAGAACTGAAATCCAACCCCAGTTATCTATCCTGATATTCAGATGTATTAAAATCTTAAGATTACATAAATATCTTAAGAAGAATACATTCAAAAATAATTTATTACTTGTCAGTTTTCTTTAGCTTATAAATTGTATTATCATAAGACTTTTTCATATCAATCCTTCAAACTTCACAATCCCAGAGAAAGGGCATTCAGAGTCGACACACTTGCACATTTAGGAGGATTCTGCTGCCCCCACATCTTTTCTTAATGCATGGCTGCCTAAGTGCTCTCCATCGGAATCTAGACCTACTACTCCTAATACAGTCTTTTTTCCCCTCCTCAGAACATCATTTCAGTTATGAGAGAATACATTTATTACACCTGGGTTTATGCTTTGTCATTCCTTATCTTTACCCAGAATCCTGGGCATCTCCTTGAAAAATAATAGTCATGAAACATCATTTTTCATTCGATCAGTTGATTAACCATGATCAAATACTCCACTACCCAAAGTCATCTAAATAAAGGGAGCCACTGAGTTTCCTCAAAAATATTTCATCTGAGGGCAACTGTTCGCTACATCTGATCAATTGGAAACTTTTTTTATAAAACTACCAAGGACGGTGTAAACAAAGACAAGAGGACACAATTGTTTGTGCTGTAGAACCCGCCAATCAGCTTCCGGTCTGATGGCAGTACTCACGGGTAAAATGATTAGAAGTGGACGGATTGACGCTGTCCCCACTGTCCGCACTTTCACTGCTGGAAACTTCATCATCTGATTCCCGCACAGAGGAGCAGGGCGACGAGCCGTCAACTTCTTCAAACTTCCTCTTTAAAATTCCACTCATAGCTGCAGCGCTGTCACATGTACCTGTAACAGGAGCGAGAGCAGCAGAGCAGTGAAATATTTGACCGCTGAACATGTAGTCAAGGTCTCCAGAGTCATTTTTATGTGGCTTTTTATACACGAGCTGTGCTAGAGCTTTCCCTTGAAAAGATCACCAAGCAGATTTTTTTTTGTTTTTAAATGAACAAAAATCAGATTGAATTAAATACGAATATTTGACCATTTTATTAGCAAAATGTTTTGACATTTTTAGGAACAGTTCATTTTAATGGAATACCGCAATTCTTTTTCTTGGCAAACTGAGACAATCCGCTTGAGTCCATAACATTTTGTAAATAAAATAACTGCCGTTGTCTCCTGAAAACCTAGATGATTATTGCAATCATAAAATTCATCTGATGAGAACACAGAAAAGTATGCCAAAACTTGTACTTCAGTTTTATAGTCAGAGAATCCTAAATAGCAGAGCACAATGAAGCAAATGAAATTAGTTCTGAATTGTAGGGAGTTTCCATTTCGGTGTCGCAGTAAGGTGATACGTGCCCCCACACTGGTTCCTGAAGCCATTGCCACTTTTCCAGAAACTTCCTAAGGCTATTTACCTGGGAGATTGCACTGAGTAAGGAGGGCTGGGGGCCAGGAGTGATTTCTTCTAAATCATTTGTCTTGGGTGAAAGGCAAGCCCACCTTTCCCTGGGCTTCTCTTTCTCCACCTTCCCATTTTACCTTGACTTGGGTATAGACAACTAAGGTTCATAAACTTTCTTTGCAAATAAGATTTTAAGGACTAAGCTATATATAAATTAGCTTAGATATATGTACACGATCTTATGTTGTGCATATAACTAAGCCAATTTATATATAGCTTGTTAAGTTAACTTAAATTAGGCTAACTTCACTGGAAGTATAGGTTGACTATCCACTATTCAAAATGCCTGGCTCCAAAAGTGATTTGAATATTGAACTTGGATTTTGAAATAGTGGCCTGTATTTAATGAGATATTTAGGAGATAAAACCCAAATTTAAACACAAAAATAAGTTATGTTTTATATATACCATATGCATATAGCCTGACGGCAATTTTATATAATAGTTTTTAGTAATTTTGTGCATGAAACAAAATTGAGTGTGTTTTGACTATACCCATCACCTTAGATCAGGTAGGAAGTTCTCTATTTGTTGCATCACGTAGGCATTCAGAAACTGTGAGTTTTTGAGCATTTTGCACTTGGATTTCCAGGTTAAGAATGTTCAACCTTTGTCACTAAGTCCATTCCCTACAGTCTATCATCCTCTTCACTTATGTCTATTGATTTTAACTCTCATCTGAGTTCTTGAAGCCACTCTCTCTTTTTCCCCCCCTGCCAGTGTATAGACATTCCTGTAGATGAAGAAAAAGCAAGACCCTTACAATTATTCAGAGGTCAACTTAGTTACATTATCTGAGTACTGCTCTGAGGAATCTCTGGAATCACCCTTTGTGCAGACCACAGAGCAAGCAGCCTGCTCAGATCCCCTGAGGAAGGCCACACCTCTCCAAAGTCTAATTCAGTAGTGTTCAAAGTGTGCTTCGTAGATCAACAGTCGCAGTATCACCTTGGAGTGAGATGGTTGGAAATGCAAATTCTCAATTTCCACCTCAAAAATTTCTGCTGAGTCAGAAATTCCCAGGAAGCCGGGCCCAGCAGTCTGTATTTCAGGAAGCCCCAAAGCAGGTGATTCTGATGTATGCACATTTAAAAACTTCTTGTCTATTTTAGCGTGCTTGCCAGCACCCCCTTCTCTGGACTTCAGTCTCGTTGGGTGTGTCCACATATGAGCCCTAGACACTCGGTCATGTAACCCCCACTCTCAATTCCTAATCAAAATCTCTTTGGCTATCCCTGGCATGATTCCTAGTAAAATTAAGAATAGTATTAGATGTCTCATAAATATTTATTATATAATAATTTCAATTTATTCCATTCATTAAGGATGCATTGAGAATTATGCCTGTGCTTGACTCCTTGAGGAGAGTCGGAATACAAAAGGAAGAGAAAATAAGTCACCTGCCCTAAAGGAGCACGCACTTACCATGCCGGGCTCCACCAAATCAAGATTCTTCCCAAATTCATGTTCTACCTCCCTTGTTCCATTAATCAATGTTTTCTGCATGATCATCACACATGAGTATCAACAATGGAGAAAACCGATAGCAATAGGAAGATGTAGCATTGTCCACTCTTTTGAAAATATAATCTCTATTCTGACTCTGATTTCACCATTATTCAGATTAGCATATTATTTTCTCCATCTTTAAGAGTGTGAAATGCATAAAGTGTTCATGCATATCTGAGTAGGGTGAAGAGAAAAAAAAGATATTTTAAGTAAAGTCTTGAAATAAAAGTAGGACAGGATATAAATTTTAAAATGGTTCACTTCAAACAAGATGCAAAGTAATTCACAAGAGAGAGACTCTGAGACACAAAGTAATACAAGATGGAAACCTGTGTTTTAAGAGCACATTTTTATAATAAGATATTGCAATGCAAAAGTTAAGAATCATGTCCTTCAGCTCCACTTACTTCCCCCCAACCCCAGACTTATTAGGAAAGGCAAATTCCTCAAGAACCAAGGATACCAAATTGGGCTACAGGGAGGGTGAACCTGTCCCAACATTACAAAAGGTGGTACTTTATATTTTTCTCTTTTTTTTCTCACTTTTTCAGGATGAGAGAAGAAATTTTTGGAGCAATGATAAGAGAATTAAAAAACTTTTTTTCAACCTGTTATTATTCTAATACATTTGAGACTGTCATGATCTGAAGTAACAGCTGAATGTTGAGTATAATTTCTACCTAGATATTTACAACTAAAAGAGTCTGAGTAAGACCAGGTCCAAGGAAGTTAAAGAAATGTTTGCTTGGGGTGGGGAGGGGGGAGGTCAGTATCTAAGGTAGAAATTAAACTAATTACAGTGGGTCATACTTTAAGTTATATCTATACTCATGAAACTGGTTAAGTGCTAAATCTGTCTTGCAGCAACAGAGCACAACAGCTGTCTGGTTTCACTGTATTTAAAAAATACTATGTCAGCCTAGCAAAACAGGAGTGCCAAATGGCCCAGTGCTTACCAACATGTAACTTTTGATCTTGACTTAATAATGGAACATTAAAAAGGTGTGGTTTTCTCCTATATCATGTGCATCATCTTACTAGGAAAGGAGAGAATATAAGGATTTAGGGAGAAGGACCTGTTAATCAAGTGGTGTATACCTGGTTTGCTTGAACCGTGTGTTGGTTGCTTTAGCGTTTGAAGATGGCAACATATGGTTAGCTAGATACAGATACAAGGAGAATGAATGTCTGTCCTATAGTGCTGCAGCTTCATAAATGCCCACACACTATGTTTTTGTTTCTAGAGATGAGGCACAATTAAACTCAGTAGTATGATGCAGTTGAAAAAGTGGCAAACATTTCACATTGCCTTTATATAGCATCAAAGAACAGATGATAAAGTTGGACAGGCATTAATTTATTCTAAATAGGAGGAGCTGAATATCTAAGCCTAGATAACAGGCATTTTATCACAGCTCCCATTGTCCAATTCATGAAACACATGCTAGTCAAGGGTACCACTTAGACTAGCACCCCAGCCTCCTAAGTGTTCTTTTCTATTCACCGCTGCTAGCTTTCAGTGTGTTTCCCGGGTTACAATCAGAATGATGATTTACCTTTCTTTTTAAGACAGGGTTACTCTGTGGTCTGGGCTAGAATGCATCAGAGCTCACTGCAAACTCAAACTCCTAGGCTTAAGTGATCCTCCCGCCTCAGCCTCCTGAGTAGCTGGGACTACAGCCATATACTACCATACTCAGCTAATTTTTCTATGTTTCTGTAGAAACAGGTTCTCACTATGTTGCCCATGCTGATCTCAACCTCTTAAACTCAAGCAATCCACACCCCACCCCTAGCCTTGGCCTCCCATAGTGCTGGGATTAAAGGCATGAGCCACCTAGCCCAGCCAGAATGATACATTTAACATTCAAATTAGATCATGTCAGTCCATATCTTACAACTCTTCAGTGGCTCCAGATTGCCTTACGATAAAGTTCAGAATCCTCAAAATGACTTATAAAGTCCTTGGCAATCTGTCTGGGCTGCACTCTGCATCTTCACTTTGAGCGACGGCCCTTCTCATTATAGTTCAGCTCTAATAATCTTCTTCCAGTTTCTCCTATTTGCCATTTCTCTCTGGCCTCTGGGCCATTTGATATATCATTCTTTCAGATCTACTTTTCAATTTTTTCCATAGCATTTACCACCTTATGTCTTTATCTTACTCTGAGCTTATCTCTGAGCTTCTTATGTATTATTTTCATGCCCTGATAAAAGGCACTAAGGTAGTCATCTTTGTTTCTTTTTTACTGATGTTTTAAAGGCCTAGAAAAGTGCCTTATATATAAACTGGTGTTCAACAAATATTTGTTCAGTGAATGAATAAAATCCTTTAATTTCCATACTTTAATTACTTTATCATGTCTGTTCCTTTGCTAGATGGAAAGCTCCATGAAGGCAGAAATCACGTTCTCATTTACAGCTCTATCTCCCTCGATTAACAAACTACTTTGATTAAAAAAGGATCAAAATGAGAGATATAATGACCTTAAAATGTCACATCATTTTTTTGCTCATAAGCAACCTAAAAATCAATTCTGCACTAACTTGATCATAAGGCTTTCATTAGAAAAATCCTGGACTAGTACATGTATTCTAAGACAGGGCTGAAAACCAAAACCAAAACAAAACTCAGGAAACAAAGGAAGAAAGACAGCTTCTGGGATTGCAGCTGCAGAAATTCCTTCTTCTTTTCTCTAGAGCTCTATTGTTGCCAGTTTTCAGCTCCAGCGACTTCTCTCTCTGTTTCACAGTTCAGGGTGATGATGTTCCAAGGACTGAACAACTTTTCGAACTATTCCGGGTCAGGCATCAGCCCCTCAGACATTCACCTATATGGCCATTAGGCAGAAAGGGAAGTA